GATCCAGCCCACTTCCGTCGAGAGCCGAACAAGCCCGATCGTTGGAATCGTTTTTTTTGCGGGGCTTTCGCCCCGACGACCTTAGTGTCATGATTCCTGTCCGTCGCGCCCTCGTCGTTGGTGATGAGGCTCTGGCATGGCTATTGCTCGCGTGATTTGTTCGCGTTCATCTGTCATGTTTGTTGTCGCCTCCACTGAGGCGCGGAGAGGACGCCCTGACCGCGATGCTCGTCTGTGTCATTGGGCCGCCTCCTCGCCCGTTTCGCTCATTCGACGCGCGCGACGCTCGATCCGAGCTTGGTCTCGATCATGATCATCATCATCATCATCATCATCATCATCATCATCATCATCACCATCATCATCATCATCGTCATCGTCGCCGCAGAGTCATCATCACCACCATCACCATCCTCTGTCTCATCTTCATCCCCATCCTCATCCTCTTGAACATCGTCGCCACCGCCATCATCACCGTTGCCATCATCACCAACATCAGCATCATCATCATCCTCTTCGTCATCGGCACCATCACCATCACCATCATTACCAGCTTCACCGCCATCGTCATCATCAGCACGATCACCATCACGGACACCATCATCATAAACACCATCGCCGCCGTTACCGCCATCAGCACCGCCAGCAGCAACACCAGCATCATCATCATCACCACCATCGCCACCATCATCACCACCAGCAGCATCCTCACCAGCACCACCACCGTTAACACCATCGTAACCTCCGCCCTTGCCCACTCACTCACTCATTCATTCACCAGCCACCACATCATGACCATCACCGCCACATATATATATATATATATATTTATATTTATATTTATATATATATATATATATATATATGTATCCCTGGGGGCGAGGCCGGGGGCCCCAGGACAGGTGCCCCGACCCCCCATGGGGGGACCGGGGCTCATTTTCCCTTTGTTTTAAAAGGGTTTCCGCGTCCTGGGCCTCGGAGGCCGCCGCCTCCGACCTCCCATGGGAGGACGGGGCGGCCAGGGAGGTCCAAAATAGTCCAGGAGGGCCTCCAGAGGCCCCCAAGACGGCCCAAGCGGGCCCCGAGTCGCCGAAAGACCGCTCCAGGACGCCCAAGATAGGCCCAAGACGGCCCGAGAGGCCCCCCAAGGCACTCCACGACGCGTCAAGACGCCTCTCCAGAGCGCTTCCAGAGGCCGAAATCGTCAATTGTACGAAGGTTTTCGAACCATTTTGGCCTTCCAGCCTTTTCGGCTGTCCGACGTTCCAAGACGGCTCAATAGGCCCCCAAGAGCGCCCCAAGACGGCCCAAGAGGGCCCCAAGACGGCCCCAGAGTCGCCCAAGACAGCCCAACAGAGCCCCAAGACGGCCCCAAGATGCGCCCAAGAGGGGGACCACGACTCCAAAATTCGACCCTCCCGCTTGAAGAGTGCCCCAGGAGGCCCCAAGGAGCCCCCAAGAGGCCCCAGGAGGCCCCCAAGAGGCACCCAGGAGGCCCGAACGAGGCCTAAAGAGGCCACAAGACAGCCCCGAGGAGGCCCCACAACGGTCCCAAAACGGCTACCGAGAAGCTGCGAAATTGCCTTCACGACGTCCCCGACAGGCCAACCACGAGATCCAAGCCAACACCCATGAGGCTTCTGACCCACCACCCAGGGCACGATGGCGGGAGCAGTGACAGCACTTGTGCACAGCATGTCCGGGCGGGAGCCTTCCGGAACACGCTGCAGGAGGAGGAGGAGGAGGAGGAAGATCAGGAGGAGAGAGAGTTGGAGTGGGAGGAGGAGGATGGGGACGAGGAGGAGGAAGAGGCCTCCCAGACAGCTCCAAGATAGCCGAAGAGGCTTCCAAGAGGGCCCTGGGCGGCCCACGAGGGTCCCAAGGCGGTGCCTGAGGCGCCCAAGACGTCCCGAGAGGGCCACAAGGCGGCCCCAAGAGAGGCCCAAGAAGGGAAACACGAACCGAGAATCCGAGCTTTCTTCCCCGAGAGGTTCTCGGGAAGTCCCAAGAGGCCCCCAATCGGATCCAAGAGGCCCCCAAGAAGCTCCCAAGAGGGCCGACGAGGTTCCAAGAGATCTCCCAAGGTGGCCCCAAGAGGCACAACTCATAGTTTTACGATTGGGCTTTGACGGGTTTTAATTTTTTCGGCCTTTTGGCATCCCGATGCTCCAAGACGGCCCAAGAGGCTTCCAATACCGCTCCCATATAGAGGAAGAGGCCTCTGAGAAATCCCCAAGACGGCCCGCGAGGGCCCCAAGATGGTGCTTGAGGCGCCCAAGACGGCCCGAGAGAGCCCCAAGAGCCCCAAGAGAGGCCCAAGAAGGGGAACGCGACCCAACAGCAGAGCGGTCCCCCCAAAAGGCCCACAGGAGGCCGCAAGAGGCCCCCAAGTGGTCCGACGAGGACCCCAAAAGCTTCCCGAGAGCCTAAAAGGCCCCTAGGAGACGTCCAAGAGGCTTTAAGATAGCCCAAGAGTGCCCTCGATGCGTCAAAACTGCTTCCAGGAGGCCCCCGGGAGGCTTCCGGATTGCCTCAATCTGGCCGCAGGTGGCCTCAAGTCGGGCTTCCACGCAGCCAAGACGGCCAATGAAAGCTTCAGATTGCAGAACCGATGCCCCCAAGGGACCCTCAGACGCCCCCCCAAGAAGCACCCAAGAGGTGCCTCCATCAGCCGGTTGACGAAGCATGCGGAACACCCCAGAAGCTCCTCAGATGCCGTCGCGCGCCTGTGCTTGATATCGTTGTCCAAGATCGTCCAGCGCCCCCCTGGCCTGGGCTAGAACCTGAGCGCGCGCGAAGCGCGCGCGATGGTTCTAGCCCAGGGGCCCGAAAACAGCTGCCCGACCCTCCAGTACCGGGGCTCATTTTCGCTGTGCTTTTACGCGGTTTCGGCGTCCCGGGCCTCGAAGGCCGCCGCGATGCTCCCGGACATTTTCCAGATCCTCGGCGCGGGCTCCAAGACCATTCCGCAGAGGGCTCCAACAGGCTCCAGGGCAGCCCAAGAGGGCTCCAAGACGGCTCCAGGAACGACTGCAGGGTCTCAGTTTTTCTGTGTTTTCTGCAAGACGGCTCCAGGAAGACTGCATGTCTTATGAGGATGGCTTCCGCCTCTTGCCCCGAGCATCCCAAACTGCCTGAACGGTCTCCACTCGCCTTCCCCAAACCCAGCGCTTGCCCAAGCGCGTTCCGGACGGTCTTCGCCGGAACGCGCTGGAATGATCACGCGCTGCGGTTTCCCATGCCAACGTCCTCGGACGTGGGCGCCCTGCCACGAGCGCGTTCCGGGAAGATGCTCCCGGAACGCGCTGAAAAGATATGGCCACATCTCGGGGACGCTCCCGGCACCGCTGCCCCAGCCTTTCCGGCAGCCTCCACAGCGCTCCAGGAGGGCCCAAGACGCCCCCCAGGAGCCCCCAGAATGCGAAAGGATGGCCCAAGACGCTCCCGAGCAGCCCAAGTCAGCCTTCCGACGGCTCTCGAGGCTTCCAGGTGGCCTCCAAGAGACCCCAAGAAGTCTGATAGGTATCACGGTACGGCCCGAAGAGGCCAAAGTCGTATATGTTCAATGGTCTTTTCAATGTTTTTGGCTTCTCGCGTTTTCGAGCTTCCAACGGTCCAGAGCGCCGAAGAGCCGCCATGGGGGTACCGGGGCTCATTTTCCGTGTGGTTTTACAGGGTTTCCGCGTCCTGGGCCTCTGAGGCCGCCGCCTCCGACCCCCCATGGGAGGACGGGGCGGCCGGGGAGGTCCAAAATAGTCTAGGAGGGCCTCCAGAGGCTCCCAAGATGGCCCAAGCGGGCCCCGAGTCGCCGAAAGACCGCTCCAGGACGCCCAAGATAGGCCCAAGACGGCCCGAGAGGCCCCCCAAGGCACTCCACGACGCTTCAAGACGCCTCTCCAGAGCGCTTCC